GTTAATTGACGGAGCCTTTTTGCATGACAACGGTAAATAATTCCAATCATTCACAATACGATTTGTGAAGAAATAATGTCGAGCATTATTGTAAGTGAAATCACGCGTTAGTACGTTGAATGGTGATCTGCGAAAAGGTGGATTATGCCAATTAATAATTTCAAAACCGTTTTCAAATTTAAACTGTTTGATCAAGTCGCCGCGTCGCCTGCGAGTTTCCAAAGAAGTAAAATTGAGACGGCAACACTTTTTAGCATAAGGTAAACTTGTTAAATCATGAGGAATTTTTGTTGCTTTGTTCTGAATTTTTCAATATTTTAAATGTCGTCTTTTAAAGTAAGAACACCATACCGGAACAGCAAATTCCAGGTGCGGCCTAACATATGTAGAATATAGTTTACCCCAAAGCTTCATATCTCTTGATCTAAATGTTTTTTTTAGTAGGCCAAGTATCATATTTGCTATACGTGTTGCAACCTGTATGTATTAATTACATTTTAGATCGTTAGATATAAAGATACCCAGGTCTCTTTTAGCATCCGTTGCCGCTATAATAAGAGATGTATTACCATCATTCATTACATATTCATGATTTATATTTCCATGACCAAGGTGCATTTATTCAAGCATGTTTGCAAGCATATTCAAGCAAGTATTCAAAAAACATGCTTGAATAAATACACCTTGGTCATGGAAATATAACTTTACACTTTGCAATATTTAATTCCATAATCCATTCTTTTGATCACTCTGAGACAATGTTTAAATCATTTTGAAGAATCAGACAATCAGCATCGTGAAACTCAGGTTGAAAATTTGCAAAAATTTGCAACCCCCTCAATTTGAGGGGGTTGCAAATTTTTCACTTTAGTTATAAATTAACAGCTAAAATTCACAACAGTGCGAACTTTTACTTAGAACAGTACAGAATAGTAAATAAAATAATATAAAATAATATTTTTATGACCATACACATCACTAAGTTCAAAATAATATAATATCAATAGTAAAATAAAATTTTAAAATGCCCATGACTAACCTTAAGTTATTTTGGGCGAAAGAAGCCACCTATGGTTGATCATGACAGGAATAATACTGGATTTCTTTTGTTTAAAATCTACCACAGGCAAATGAGATATCATTTTTGTTGTTGAATTATCATAAGAAGAATATTGGAAGTTAAATCCATTAGTAGAGGAATGGCTCTTGGGAGAACTTGGATTTGTGGATGTGCTGATGTGCTTTTTACAAACGCAAAACTAAACCAGTTTCTTCGTTTGCTTATTTTAAGCACGTCAAATCTGGTACAATCTAACACAAAGTCATTGCATTTTAAAATTTTGTATAAACATTTTAAATACTACTTTTAGCAGAGGTTATAAATGTTACAAAATATTACACAAATTAATTAAAGAATATGAACTGTAGAAAGTTGTTTAAAATGTAAAGTATATAATTTGTCCCAATCCTATTTCGGGTTTACAAAATATATTTATCAATTACAGGTTTTATAAACGACCCAGTTGCCTGTGCTTCAGTGAAACCTATTCAAAGAGTTTCTTACTTGGCTTCGTCTGAGTACTTACATTCAACTATAACCTTAGTTCTAATTGGGTTGAAGCTTTAACAAACCCACCTTGATTGACACCCTCAAAGAAGTTTACCTCTTTGAGGGTGTCATTACCAGCATGTTCCTCAAGTATGGTTGCATTTGTAAAATGAATAGCACATTACCAGCATGTTCCTCAAATAAGGTTATATTTGTGAAATGAATAGCATTAGGATTAAATGGCTGTAACCCGTATTTCTTGAAAGCAATTTTAATTCTAATTTTTTTTCAATAAAGTTTTTTTTTAATAAATCCTGTGACTTTATTTTTAAAGCATCCTCAAATTTTCGTCATTTATAAAAAGAACATCAGAGTTTTTATTAGATATGATTTCAAAACTTTCCAGCAATTAGTTTTTGCCCTGCATGTTTTTTAGTGATCAAGTGGCAAAGACTAGGTCGCATGGCGCACACTGGGTGTTTTACCCTATGTGAGGCGTTGTTGCAACCTTGGTCTAGAACTTTATGCAAGTGAAGCCTTTTATCAGAACATTACAAAACAGATTATCATCATAGATATATCATCACAAATCAGATTAAAGAGTATTGTTTTCTTTGTCTTTGACACAAAGAAAACTGTTTTGTAATGAGAGAAATAATGCATTAAAAACTAAATGCAATTTTTGATGCTAACTTTCTACTTCAGACGTGTTTAATTGTTGAAGAAACCTGATAGTGTATAAAATTTGCGTAATTATTTATAGATACCTAATTGATCATAACAAATTTCTGTATAGATGTGTATATATACATAATAGATTTTTGAATTTCATAATAGATTTTCTTCCATAATATGTTTTTAGGATTTTCTTTTAAAGGAAAATAAGTAGATTTCTTTTTATCAACAATCAATCAATGAATAGAGATCAAGAGGCAATTCAAAATGGCAATTCAAAGGAGCGTTATTATTTATACGCTCTTTAGCACTTGAATCTTGCTCTTTTAAATTAATAGACCTTTAAATAGGTATTAAGTCAACAAAAAAGATCGTTCACTCGTATTTGATGTAACAGGCAAATATAACAAAATCTTTTACTAGTTTTACAAACTCTAGAGTTAATGGAATGATTTCAGAGTGTCTACAACTCCATCGTGGTCTACAAGCACGCTCAAAAATGTTTTAAAATTATCTAGTTGGATATTCTGAAATTGTTTATGATCCACAAATATCTTTTTAGAAAATCTCAACAAATTCCAAAACTAAATACTTATAACTTTTCCTAAATTTGCTAGATACTCAGTAGTCACTGTTGCTTTGAATTTTCTTGCAAATCCCGTTATTAAACAATCCAGAGATAAATAGCAATGGTAATGGTAGGAACCCTCTGTATTTGTAGCAACATATTGAACAATTCTAGTCAATCGTTTTTTACGGTATTATACCGTAAAAGATATATAACAATCATATATGTAAATACTAAAAAGTGAAATTGAAGGATTTTACTTACAAAAATTAAAAAAATTTAAGTACGTTATTAATAGTTAAAATGTTCAATATATATTGTATATATAACTGTATATTAGGGGTATGGGAGTTTTTCAACCCTGTATCCCCATACTCAATTTAGTAGAGTTTTTATGTAAAAATCAAGAAAATATCATACATTTTATGCATTTATCTCAAAAAAGTTCACCCCCATTTAAAAACGAGATTAATAGAATATAAGAAATGTTATTTTGCAACACATGTTCTAGTACTATATAGAAAACTAACAAACATGAGTAATTAAAATAATTTTACAGTGTATTTGACAATAAGTATTTAATATTAAGTTTTTCTATGCATAAAGGCATAAAGGCACTAAATCTTGCATCACTTTTGCTGCACGTTCTGCACATATGTTTGACTGTTGTATTGAAATCGGTGTTGGCTCTGTGGACCAAAATGTCTTCAACAACTTTAATGCCTTTGGATACTCATTGCATGGTTCTAATAGATTAACAAAATCTGCAGAATTGAAGTAGTAATTACCAAACCATATATTACCCCATGAAGCACAGATGAAGTTGCATGCTGCTTGAGCAGATTTCGATTCTTGATAGTCTGATATTAGAATATTAGCAAGTATAAAAATAAATTGCTCTCGAGTTCAATCTTGCATTGTTTATAGCAGGAAGTGCTTTAAAACTCAATTTTGGAAAAGTACCTGTGCTTTTAAACTTTCTATAACAAGCTATTAATTGATGCAAGAAGTCCATGTCATCTCGCCAGCATGTTCAATTCACTTTTGTCAAAGGATCTCCAGTACTCTGAAATAATAACTTCAGGTTTTCGTAGTCTTGCAATAATCTTGTCAGTAAAGGGTAATGAAGATTTGGTGTTGATGTTGAGCTTTCAAAAAGATCATTCATGACATGTTTTAAAAGAGTATCTAAAATATGGTGTTGGTATCCTATAAAAGTAGGCTTCCCTATTCCATTAGTTTTGAAATGTTTCTGTAACAGGAACATTTCAAGGAATTAAAAATTCTTGAAAAAATTTTTTAGTCATACCCCTACTGTATATATATATATATATATATATATATATATATATATATATATATATATATATACAGTTGAAAAGCAGTAATTCAGAAAATCTTGAAGAAAAATTATAGTTTATTCGTGAAGTACGTACTTGTAGTTTAAAATAAGGTTGTACAAAGGTTTAGTGAAAACTACTGGTGACAACTACTTCGCTAATTTGCTACATCAGAGATTCCCAAACTTTTTTGTGTCGTAGACCCCTTGCTATGTTTTTCAGTTTTGGGTAGACCCCCAACCTACTTGATATTTATTTTTTGTAAATTTCAAACTGTAGTGAAGTGTAGTGTTGAAAATGTCAAGTAAAAACACGAATATAAAAATTTTAATGCCCATTGAATTATAAGTCGGAGAGCGATAACAGTTTAGAAAGACTTGGTAATTAAATGTATTATGAAAAAGTTCGATACTTTTAAAATTCTTTTTAAGTTAAAGAACTCAATTTTTAATGAACAAATAATGCGGGTAACAAGTTAAATTTAGTCAATCAGCCAGTGACGTCTTGTAATGCTTTGTACATCTCCGCTCCGCCGTGATCGTTTTGCGATCGCAGTTGATTAAATTTAGTGAGTCAGTGGGGGACTATAATGAAAGTAAATAGGTACTATCAATGTATGTTGAGATTTTCATTTTCATTTCATGGACCCCCAAATATTTTTTCCGCTGACCTAGACCCCTTGCAGGTTGTCATAGACCCCTGGGGTCTATAGAGACCACTTTGGGAATCACTGGGCTACATCTACAGCAGAAAATGTCAGCTTGGTATTTTTGGGTGAAATTATTTAATTACAAACAAAAAATAACTAAAGTAAATATGCAATTAAAGTATAAATACAATAAAAAAAGCCAAAAAAAAAAAGAAGACATTTTATCTCATTAAATAATTCTTTTAAAAAAATGCATTGTAGAAACTACAAAATAAAATATTATTACATAACCCACCCGTATCGACATCCGTATGAACACAAAAATATATCTAACGTGAATAAATTTTCGTTTATTTTTCACGCATATCCCATACGATTTAAGATTTATAATATCATGTAAACAACTGTTTACTTTATATCAATGTTCGCTTTTAACCGTTTTCTTCCATAAAATTTCTTATATGAGGGTTATAATCCGGATCTAACATGGGATCATTTATAGCATTGTTACGCCCGTAACTTGCCATCAGATAAACAACAATGACAAAGAGACCTAACAAAACTACTAATATAAAGTATCGCCTCAAAAAGTTGTTTTTTGATTTCTTCTGATCGTTTTCGTTTAACCTAAATAAATATAATTAAAAAAACATTAAAATATTTCAACCTTTTTTTATCATTTTACTTATTACTAATTAATTATATTTATTAAGGATTTTTAAAGCTATTTTTTCAAATCAATTTTATTATATCAAAATAGATAGCCAATCTGTACATGAAATATTATATAGATAAATTACAGCAAGCACAAAAATACTAACTCCATATTAGTGTCAACCATTTATAACCACGAACGGACGTGTTTGAACTGCGAAACAAGGAAGTCAAAAATGGAATAAAATTTTACAATTGCTCAGTTAAAAGAAATTTTAAAACTTCACGACAAATATTAAAATTTCAAACGACAAAATTGATAGGCCGGTTAATCAAATTAATACTATAAAAGATAAAGTTGTTAAATTTGATATTAATTTTTTTTTTAATCTGATTTTATTTTTTATTTGAAAGATTAATAAATCTTTTTTGAATTTGATTTAGATATTAATTTTTTTTGAATTTGATATTAATTTTTTAAAAGATGTTATCGATTAAAGAAAAAGGTATTTTAAAAGCGAGAAATATAAAATTTTATTTAGACCCAAGAAACTTAAAAAAATAATGTAACAGAAACCATAAAGGATCAGTAGCTTGAAAAATTTTTACGCTTCAGATGTATCGAAAAACAACTTGTTTTGAATTTGAAATTGTAATAGAGCAGAAAAGTTGCAAAATGCTATAAAAAGTAATTGTGCCAAATTTTTAAAATTTTTTTTGTCTTCAATTCGCGCTAGGGTTTAATTTTTCTTGCAAAAACACGTTTTCTGACCTTTTTTACAAAATAAAAGTAACAAATTCTAAGCATTATCTAGAGCTGTAATAGTCTCAACATTGCACAATGACTAAGTTAGAAATGGTTATAATTTAGAGGGCTGAGTTTTTACAAAAAAACATAAGTTTCTAGTAAACAAGCTTTGCTGTCCATAATGTACAATTAAAATTTTAATAAAATGAAAAATATTTAAAGTTTAGCAGAAATAAAATTCAACTATCTAATTCATTTGGATTTGTCTCAAACTGTTTTTTTGTGTTGAATAAATGCATTATTTTTTGCGATGCAGGTCTTGAATGAATGAAGCCGTCTTCACTAGTAAAACCGCAAACAAGATCTGAAGCTTTGGTTACAAGTTTGATGCACCACTCTATTCCTTGAGTATGTCATGGAAAATGCTGCACATATAACATTTGTTAACATTTGATTCATTTGGATGTGTGAGCCTCACATCCAGATGAAAATCTAATTGAAATGTTAACAAATGTTTATCTTGCGGTAGTGGTGTAGTGATAGAGCGCTCGCTTCATAAACGAGTGGTTCCGGGTTCGATCCCCACCACGTCCCTGGTAGTACCGCGCTCAACTCGTTTCTCCGCGCAGCGGCCTTGTTTGTCAAGGTTCGTGTTTCGGAGTTATAGAGTTGAGAGAGGGTTACAGCCACAAAATAAGTAGCCTCCTCGTCTGTAGTGGCCTTCTCGGCCTTGAGGAGGTGAATTAAAATAAAAAAAAATAAAAAAAAATTAAAAAAAACTTCCAGATGTGCAACATTTTCCATGCCATACTCAAGGAGTAGAGAGATGCATCAAATTTGTAACCAAAGCTTCAGATCAAGTTTGCGGTTTGGCTAGTAGAGACGGCTTCATTCGTTCAAGACTTGCATCGTGAAAAATAACGCCTTTATAGCAAATTCTGAGACTTAAATCAAGCACCTAAATGCTTGGCCAAAAATATCTCACCAATAAAGACTATTCAGTTAAGATATGTGCAAAAAGCTAAGAGATTTCCTTAGCGCGGTGAATAGGTTATGTTTGACAGTTAATAAATGAGCTAAGAGATGCTTGCGTTTATATATTGGAATAACATTTATAGTCAACGGTTTGTCAACTTTGCATCTTATAGTCAACAGTGAATCACTTCACTGTTGAATTTAAGATGCAAAGTTTTATGATAAATATTTAGAGCAACCTTGCACGGAAGACTCTGCAGATCCACTTGAATACTGTCAGAGAAACTATCAAGACTTTGTAAAGCTAAATACATTAATATGTTAAACAAATATGTATTTAAAAAAAAAAAATTATATAAAATTGTGTAATAATATTTTTTATATAATTATTTATATAATTTTTTAAAATATATCTCTTGAAAAAACGAACAAGCCCAACCAGCCCCAGGCAAATAAATTTAAATTCTTTTATTATATGATTGAAGTTATAAGATTATTTTAGTTGAACCTTATAAACAGGATCTACCAACTAGGTGCATAATGTGCAACTAATGTGCATAAGTATAATGTGCATAATAAGCATAATGTGCACAAACTAATGTGCATAAATAAACAAAATATGCCTAAATAAACATAATGTTCATAAATAAGCATAATGTGCATAAACTAATGTACACCAACTAATGTTCATAAACTAATGTACACCAACTAATGTTCATAAACTAATGTACACCAACTAATGTTCATAAACTAATGTGCATAATAAGCATAATGTGCATAAACTAATGTGCACAAACTAATGTTCATAAACTAATGTCCATAAATAATGTGCACCAACTAATGGTCGAGTATAACTCAGTTGTGCAAAAATTGTCCAATCTGTTACTCAAACTTTCATTGTCAGAGCAAATTTAGACAGTTGTTCTGACAAAAACAAAGCCTGATAGAAAACCAAAGAAAGACAAAGCACATAAACAATATAAAGAATGAAGCACATAATTTTTTATGCTAATTATTTAATGTTTTTTTATAAATGTAATTTGTGTCTAAGGTAACAAACTTCTCCTAAGAATCACACATAACATGGATTTCAAAAAAGGCTTAGCAAAAATAAATCGTGTCAGATAAACATTACCACTTATACTTTACTCAGCGATTTAGGCCTTCTCCATACAGCAGTAAATTTAGATTTAATTACAATTGGCTAATAATGAACTACACCCAAAATTCGTAAAGCACCAGTATTTTTGAAGAAGTATTATGAAAATAGAGGTTAGAAAATCCAATATAAATTATTTTTGAAATATAATTAAAAAATAGATATAACTTATTATACTACTGTAGAAAATTGGTAAGGAACAATTAATAAACATTTAAATTGACACACAAAGACTAAATCAAACCATAATGAAAATAAGTTAACCAAAAAACAAAAAAGTTAAAACACTAAAGCAGAGATTCCCAATTTCCCAAAATTTTGTGTTGTAGACCTATGTTATGTTTTTGCTATGTTTTTCAGTTTTGGGTAGATCCCTAACCTACTTGATATTTATTTTTTGTAAATTTCTAACTGTAGTGAAGTGTAGTGTTGAAAATGTCAAGTATAAACACGAATATGAAAATTTTAATGCGCATTGAATTACAAGTTGGAGAGCGATAACAGTTTAGAAAGACTTAATAATTAAATGTATTATGAAAAAGTTTGATACTTTTAAAATTCTTTTTAAGTTAAAGAACTCAATTTTTAATGAACAAATAATGCAGGTAACAAGTTAAATTTAGTCAATCAGCCAGTGATGTCTTGTAATGCTTTGTACATCTCTGCTTTGCCGTGATCGTTTTGCGATCGCAGTTGATTAAATTTAGTGAGTCAGTGGGGGACTCTAATGTAAGTAATGAGGTACTATCAATGTATGTTGAGATTTTCATTTTCATTTCATGGACCCCCGAATATTTTTTCCGCTGACCTAGACCCCTTGCAGGTTGTCATAGACCCCTGGGGTCTATAGAGACCACTTTGGGAATCACTGCACTAAAGTATTTAAATTATTAACTTATGACTTTTAAAAAAAAACCTAAAAAATGTGTTAAAATAAAAAGTAAAACATAACTAAGTCTTTGATAACTCATATATACCAAAATATCATAGGTACCAAGTTCAAATTATGCTGACCAATTAAAATGTAACCAAAATAAAATGCAAATCCTGGAGTTATTATAAAAATTAAATAACACAATAGTAGAAAAAAATATAGTTAAGAGACCAAAACTAATGTTTGCTTTAAAAAGGTATGAAAAATATAAATGTTTTACTAAAAATGTACGAAATAGGACTTTAGATCTTTAAAAATTCAAAAAATTTGTGCGTTATTTAAAGAAAAATCAAAATGAAATGTATAAAAAAATAGAGAAAAAGGCGGATAAAAAGTCGTAAAGAAGCTAATTACCAAGTTATAGAAACCATGTGCGAAATAAATATAATTACCTAAATATACAATTTCATATAAAAAATATCTACAATGTATAAAATGCTTTTAAAATTTTTAACTAGAAAGAAAAACCAAAGATTAATGTTCTCTTGACAGTCCAAATTATAAAAATAAGATTTTTAGGGAAAATAGGGAAAAACCATAGCAATACCTATAGCAATAACTAGTCTTTGACATTCCAAAAAATAACAAACACCAATTATTAATTATTGATAAGAAAAACATTGTAGTGAGACAACACCAATTTTGGCAAAACAAACAGTAAAAAATTATAAGAAACATCTAGACACAACATAACACTCTTTAGTACAAAAAACGAAAGAACAAATTAACTTTTATGTACAAGATATATATAGAATATAACATACTATATATATTATAAGTACATAGATTATTAACATCCCTATTTATAAATACATACATGTAAAACTACGGGCATACATACATTATACATGTAAAACTACATGCATATAAATGTTTGGTATACTTTAGAATTTTATAAATTTATTTCTAATAATTCTTATATTAAAATTCTTACTTAAGCAAGTTTCCAATCCAGTGAAAAATTCCTCTTCTTTTATATTTGTTGTCATCGTGATCAAAAGATATATCAACTTTAGCATCATACCGAGTTGAATCAACAACTTTGTGAACTGGAGCAGTATCTTAATAAATCAAACTACCTACTTAATGCAACAGCAAAACTTTTTCAAAAGAAATGCAATAAGGAAAATTATCTATATTATCAGTTTTTTCTTATTAGAAAATTTATAATGCAGAAGCTGTTGTACATTTTTTTACAAAAATCTTTTTTAAAAAAATATCTTAAAAATCTTCCAAACAATCAAAAATATATATTTTTTTAACTTAAAAATGCATTAGAATATTTATCAAAATTAGCATTAGTCATATTAAATATATTAAATATATTATATTGTCATTAAATATTATATTAAATATATTATATTGTCATTAAATAATATATTAAATATGTTAAATATATTATATTGTCATTAAATATTATAATATCATTAGTAATATTAGAGAGTATAAAAATATTAAGTTAAATTTTGGAAAATAAACAAACTATTTACGGCTTCATATTTTAGATTTAAGAAACTCTCAGTTAAAATCATATTTATAATTGTATAAGAGGGATGTTTTATAACAATAAAAGTGAATTGCTATTTTTATTTTAAACAGACATAAAAAATAACATAAAAACTATATTAATCCAGTAAACATCCAACCATCTGACTATTATACAGTGTTCATAACTTATTTAAAATTGTGTTTACTTGGAAATTTTATTAATAACATACTATCATTTAAGTACTTCTCTCGAACATTTGATGATGAAGCAGACTGTTTTGACAACGGCACAAAAGGAGTTTTTATAGTAGTTGATAGCGGTTTGTAACTTGATATTGGAGTTGATGTTTGAATATTTGTTTCTGCTACAACTGCATGCATTATAATTATTTACATGTAAAAAAAAAATTAAAAAAAAAATTAGTCACATTTGAAAATAAGTTTGTCTAAACATCACAGATTAAAATCATAAATTTGAATTAAAAATATTTTTAATATAAATATCAAGAAAGGTACCTGGAGTTACAGGTCTAACTTCAGATTTCTGCTCAACCTAAAATATTATTTTTGAATTTATAAAAAAGCACCTCAAGTTTTTTAAGTATTATTTAGTGTAGGGAAAATATGAATCACAAAAATAAAAATTAATCATAAAATTAGACTTTTTTTTATAAATACAATTAATATTCATGTTGTAAATAACTATGGCAGGTATACCATTTCTGTAAACAAGTTTGATTTTCTAAGTAACATTCCTTGAAAGCTGTAAAACATTGAGCTAATAGAATATTGTTTAAAAATGAAAAAAATCTACCAACTTTGTACCAAATCTACCAACTTTGAACCAAACAGTAAAATAATTTTTTAATGTTGTTAACCTTTCCAACGCCAAGAGAACCAATACAGTCAAGGAGGCTATTTTCACTTAATAGACTTTAAAAAACATTGAAGTTTTAAAGTTATTTAACTCCAACTTAATTAAATCCAAACATAATTATTTCAAAACTTTATTATTTTCTAATGTCTAATAAGTAAATAGAACATTGAAAAAAAAAGATCTGTTAAAAAAATTTGAAACTGCACTTAATATTTAACTAACAGTTGTGCCTCAAATGTAAAGCATTTCACCATCTAAGAACACACCAGCTACGCTAATGTCATGTTGGTTATCTTTTTATTTAATCATTTGTTAAGATTTTATTTCTCTTTACAGTTTATGTTTAATTTTTTTCTTTAATTTAGTTTGTTTTTTTTAGCGCTTTTTTAAAACTTGCAAATTAGACAAATATAAAGAGCCTTGGTCAATTTGTAAAAATTAAATATTATATGTGTGGTCAGATAAGGTGAACATATGCCTCTACTCATAAGGCTTGTTATCGTGTGTATATTCTAAAAACATTACTATTTGTTTACAAAATGGCATTTACTTGCGTTACTTTAATTGAGTAGTTTTTTTGTGAAATTTTACTTTTTAAGTATTTTTTTTAATGTGTACTTTTACTTTTACTTAAGTATTTTTTTTAAGTATTGTACTTCACTATTTTTTTTACATATATATAAATTAGTGCCCGTTTTATAAAATTATTTTCTTATAGTTTTCATTAATGTTTTAAGTAAAGTTAAGAAGCGCCATTTATGTTTTGAATTTTAACCTTTCTTTTAGAATTAAAAGAAAAGTTTTTAAAAAAAAATTTAAAATAAAATTTAAAATGAAGAGTTACTATATTTACATTTTGTACAAAATATAATGTAAAAAGAAAGATAACTTGTTATTTTCAATTAATTATATATCCTAGTTGCACAATTATTGGTTTTATTTTGAAGATGTTCCTTTTAGATGCTTCTTGTATTTTTTTTTTTAAAAACAATTATTCATAGCATTTTTTTTCATATTTGCATAGCGTGCATATCTTTTTGCAAAATATAATGATAAGGTTGCTATTCTGTAGTTTCTAAAAATTTTGCAAAAATGAAGAAAACATGCTTTAACTGATAAATTGAGTATTAAATTTTGAAGTGTAATTTTTATCTCCCAAGATGTAATTTGGATTGAATTATGATTTTATTTTAAATATTGTGAATCCAAAATAGTGAAGTTAAGTATGTTATAACTTTTGATGAATTGCCTAAAACTATAATTTTAGAAAGGAAAGAGAAGACTATTGCAAAACAAATCTCTAGAGAATAAACATAATGTAAGAATGCAAAATATAATTATATATTGTAGTTGCAATACCCATTAATGATATAAAAAATTTAAAACAATAAAAAACTTAAGTAATATTATAAATTATACTAATACATACTAATTTTTCAGGTTTCAATCCAAGACCACGCCTTCCCCAGGCAACAGCTGTAAGCCTTTGTCTTACCACATCAGCAACAGGAGATACCAATGCAGTGCTTGGAAAAACTGGAGCCTTAATATTAACAAGTTGCAATTTAAAATGCATTACTGCCCATTAGAAGGCTGCAGAATAATATATGAAATACAATAGAATTTAACAACCACCAAATATGTAGCCTCAGAAACATAAAATACAACCTTGCAGTCTGGACACTGATATGATGCAGAACTTGCATTTTCTGAAAATTTTAAAGCCCATTTATTGAAGCAATCCCAATGAAACAAATCTAAAGTAATCAAAATATTTAATATAAAAAGAAAATTAAAAAAAAAAAATGAAAATTGAAACCAAATATTTTATCTAAATAAAATTATATTAAAGCAGCCCTGGCAAAGTGGTTAGAGTTCTGGCTTAGAAATCCAAGGTTTGATGCTGGTTCTGCCTAGATAAGTGACATTGGTAAAGAAAGGGGCATAAACTTAATAGTTAAATGCTCTTTAGCAATGCTCTATGATAAGGATTTCTTGGAGCTTATGTGATAATTCTTGATAACCACACATTTTGATATTCTTGACACATGAAACAATGTGCAAATTTTTTTTTTGCACACCTTCGATCAATTTAAAGCATCTAGATGCACACTCTCGCTCTTTCTCTCTTTCACACTAGTTTACTAAATTTATTTAAATTTGTTAATTAAATTTAGCAAGATTTTAGATCTTAATCAATAAAAGTTTTTTTTAAACTCATTCAACACACTGCTTTTAGTTTTTCTTTGCTTGCTAGGCAATTTATTTGAATATTATAAAGTAAGTTATAAAGTAAAGTATTTTTAATAACAAATATAATATTATAAATATAATAATTTAATATTATATTTATAATATTATATTTAACATTTACATGTAGTTATTTCTTCCTTTTATAAACATACAGATACTACAAATTATAACTATATAGTAATATATTGGTAACCATATTAGTGGTGTATCAGCTATCTAACCAATGAGATACCAGTAACCATAGGAGTGATATATCAATGATTATATCCATGATATATCAAAAACCAAATGATTTTATATATAAAGTACAATTGTTTTTAATATCCTCAATAAAATTCTTTTTAATTAAGAAGTTTTGAAGAAAAAGAAAAAGCTGACAAAAAATTGGTCACAAATATATCCCTTACAACTTTTCTATATTTTGCAGCATTTTATGGTCATCAGCAATTATTATTAGCTCTTGTGTTTCATTATAAAAATGCTAACTATAAAAGCTAATAATGATAATGGCTGTATTGCTCTTGACTTAACATAATATCCTGATAACAATAATGACACTTGTGTAAAATAATTGGTTTAAATATAAAATTATCCATAAAATTAAAAATTGCAATAAATTTTTATAAACATTGTACATATTAATGACTAATATTTGCTTGTCTAAAAATGCTATTATTTTTACGTTCTTTATATGCTTAAAGCAGCATTAAAATGTAGCCTAAGGCCACACCAAATTCTGGATGAAATTTAAGTCTGATTAATTAACTGGTTAACCAATCAGACAAATGCTAAAAAAGGTTGAAAAAATTTTCTAGGAAAACCTAAGAAATTGTTTCAGCCATTTTGAAAAAATGATTAAAAATGGCTGAAAAGATTTTCTAGGAATAACTACATTAGAAAATTAAAAATATTTATTTCTCTTAGTACAGAATAACTGCGAGAAAACTAATATCTTTTATATCATAGATCATCCAGGTCTTATTTAAAATATCCGGAAAATTGTTTAGGTAAAATATCTGAAAAAAATCTGGAATATATTTTCCCTTATTTTCTTATTAATTTTGCTTTTAGCTGAGTTGTTTCAAAATTTTTTTCCAAACTTTTTATTTAAAAAACAAATATATTTTGGATATCCGGAAAAACTAATAAGTTAAGAAAAATATCCTGAATTCCGGAAATATCCAAAAAAAGGTAATCCCTGTTATATTGACTAAGATAATTGACTTTTTGAAAATTAAGATAAAATAACCAAGATACTGACACCTGAAAAGTTTAGAGAGCAAGTTTGAGGAAAATTATATATTACAGATTGCTTTAAAACAAAGTTTGTGAAAATTCGATTAAGAGGTGAAAATCTTTATCCAAAGAGAAAGATGCTATGAAGGTGAGAATAGTTCTTTGAAAAGCAGTAAAGGTCTTTTTTTTTTGACTGTATCCAATATAAACTTAGATTAAATTTTGAAAAAAAGACAGAATTTGATTTAGTAAAGTTGGATTAAGTGAACTGCTATTTGATTTCAAGTCAATATAAATGAGACATGAAACACAAGACACAATGTGTTGATGCCTAATCTGCAGAATTGGTCAAAAGCTTCTTCAAAAAAAATTTGTTAAAGCTGCAAGAAAAACATCTTCTTGAAGAGCAAAGAAAGAGTTCAGGGAATACCTTCAATCTTTAGCAGCAAAAGATGCCAAAGCAGCCAAACAAATTGCATCTCAAGTTATTTCCAATAAAGAATTATCTCCAGAAGGAACTATTCAACTTGCTAAAGCATCTGGCATACCAATAGTTACAATTAACCCCAGTAAATATTTATACTTAAATAAGTTTTACATATATACTGAAAGAAAATCTTGACTATTAAGAAATGAAGCTAGATAGATTTCAGCAAGTATACTTTTGATAAGTTTCTTATCTTTTTAAAAACAAAAAATTTGATAGCATTACACAAACTTACTAAACTAAGTTTATTATTAATATAAAATATTTATTTTTTGGTTTTAGTTCAAAGTAGTGCCCAGCTGCCATCAAGCACTCTAAAATTGACCACTCTAGCCTTTGTAAATGTACAATTAAATATGGATCTGTCAAACAACAGATTAAAGAAACTTGTTAGAATTATAAAGCAAACATCAAGCAGCAAGATGATAGATTCAAATTGTTACATGAATATTCTAAGAGCTGGCCAACATTTGAATGATTTCTCTGGATCACTGAGATCATAGTCAAGAGACAAATTCTTGTTGCGATTTCAGAAGATTTGCCAGAAATTTATTCTAATATTAAACAAACGTGGTCAATAATTAATGCAAATGGAGCTAAACTAAATTTAACTTGCAATATGAGTTGCAAATATAATTTTTGGTCTTCAAACCCATCCAAGTATACACTCTTGCACATGGTGTGATGTCAAAGCCAAGCGTCTTTTTAAATCTAGAAATGTACTCAACCAAATCTAGCCTCAACTTTTTTCAGCAATCTGGCAAGGTTGTTGCTAATGCAAACATTTTGGTAATGTCATATAAAAGGCAATCATCAGCAGGCTTGACAATATTCTGATTTCAGAAATCATCCCACCAATGAAATTGCATCTCCTATTAGGAATTGTCAATCATGTTTTTAAGATCCTTAAAACTGCTTGGATAGAAGCTGTTAAGTGGTTAGCTGCCCTCTACATTTAACTGAGCCCATAACATGGGGGCAAGTTCAAGGTAAATGAATGCAGAAAGTTTCTTAAAAATGTGAATGTATTGCAGCAACTTCCTGTTACAAATATGGTTCCCAACATCGCTAACACGATTAAAGCATGCAAAGGTTTTAAATTAGTTGTCAAGGCTTGTTCATTCTTCACCCAGATTTCACACAAAAAATTGAAATTTTCAAAAGCTATTACTTAATGAAAGGGTTGAAAAAAATCGCAATTTTTAGAAAAATCAAATAAAACGGTTTTTTTTTATTTAAATAAAATTATCATTTAAATTAATTACTCAGGATTCTAAAATTATTTCCTTTAATCTTATGCCACCACTAAACTATCCATACTATGCTATTGTATGAGGCTTTTCTGGATATTATTATATTAAGTTTCTATTGTATTAAGTTTTTTTTATATTTAAAAAAAAATTGCACCTATTGTCAAATTTAAAGATGTTACTCTAAAATTGTTTAAAACATACTAAACAAAAACTAGTATCCAAATTTGAAAGCTTGAAACAAAAAGTGATAAAGGATGTAAAGAAAGATGTAGGTAGCAAGAATAAAAGTACACTTAAATTAATGTTGTCATGAAAACAATGCAGAAAGTGATATAACATACACTTTATAATAATAAATTATTTTTTGTAATTAGTATTATTTAATTATTTTTTTCAAAAATTGAATTTCAAATTGCTTTTCCCAACAGTCAATTTGATGTTACAAAGCAACCCTTAGGATCATCATCAGTTTCAGCAAAAAAATTTAATTTAAATGTTAACAGAAAAAAAAATCACAGACAGAAAATTTAAAAAATAATAGTCCATTATTTTAAAATGCTAATTTACGTGTATATGTACATTAACTATGTCCATTATGTATCTAAATGTGCCCATTGTGTATCTGTTCATTACGGATGTGCATTAAGTATATCCGTTAAGTATCTGTCCATTATAATGGTCTATTAAATAAAAAATTAATTTAAAAGTATTTGCAAAAACATTACGGATAGAAAATATAAGTTATAATAGTCCACTAAATAAAAATCTTAGTTCTAGGTTATTGTCACAGTTTGTTAGAACAAGTCAGACTGAAAAGGTCGCTTTTGATGAGCAGATTGCAAAAATGATCAGTGCAAGAAATTCATCATTTCAACTAGTTAAATATCCAGAATTCCAATAACTTATGTTGATGTTGAAACCAGGTTATAGCACTCCAACAAGAAAGAATGTAGCTGACAAACTCTTACCAATAGTGTTTGATAATGAAAAGGATAAAACAAAAAACTCTTTAAATGGAGAGATTATAAACATAGTACTGGATGGTTGGTCAAACGTTCACAAGGAGCCGATCATTTAAGTTACAGTTACAACCGAAACCATTGATGTCTATTAACTGAAACCATTAATGTCTATATAGCAATAATGATGGTTGGTCAAACGTTCACAAGAAGCCTATAATTTCTGTTATAGTTGCAACTGAAACCAGTGATGTCTATTTAGCTGACACTATTAACACATCTGGAAGTTCTCACATTTGTGAATCTTGAAAAACCAGTTTCCTCAATTATAAAAATAGAGCTTAAATTTGGGTATCATCAAGCTTCATATTATAGCTTGTTTTTGATAAATTAGCTCATTTGTCATGTTACTGACAATTGAGCTAATTTATCAAAAACAAGGCTATAATATGAAGCTTGATTAGATATTTATGTAGTTACATATGGTTGCTCTGCACATTTAATTTGTTAGCACATGACCTAAAAATTGACAATGATAAAGATCAAATAGTAAATACTGTCCAAGATTTCAGAAACCACCACTTTAATTTGGCAGAATTTGGAAAAACTAGTGGACCAAATCTTGTATTGCCTCAAGATGCTTGCTGGAATATCATGTGTGACAGTTTAAAATGGTATATTGCAAATTGGTAAACTCTGCTAAAAATCTGTCAGTTTAACTGGACCATCATTTTTTACAATAATAATTTTATTTTACTTGACTAGATAATTTATTTACTAGTCAAGAAGGAAACATCGTAATAGCAGAGCTAATCGAGACAAGTTCCCTTCGTACTGAAGTACTACTCATATGCTGAGTAGGAGTCAGGATTTGAACCTGCAATCCTGTTGCTACAACCACTAACTAATCCAAACTTTTAGCAGGGCTTTAACCAACTGAGCTATCCTGACTTGCAATTAACACTACAGTGCAGTAAAATGTCTCTAACTTAGCCATTAAAAAGATCTGCAGAGCATATACTCACCTATACTCACCTAGAGTCTATTGCTTTTGTACTTGATAAAGAACTTTTTGACAAGTGACAAATGCAAAATAGCATATGTAGTGAAGGTGGAAGAATCTAGAAAACAAACTTTTGTGTAAAAGTGACAAAGTTGTTGAAAAGAAATTAAAAATAAACAAAAGAAAAAGCAGTGAGCCCATCCCACCTTCTGCCTTATCTTCTTCACCCTCATTACCAAGGTTGAATGTTGAATGAAGCTAAACTAAATACTGCATTGGAATATGCCAATCTACAATACCCACATATCACTCCTACAATTACAAATACCCATTCTTGAAATTTGATTTTAGCTTGTAGGTTAACAGCATTATTGTCTGTTCAGTGATGGAGATCACATTTTGATAACAATGTAAGGAAAATATATACAATTTTGCAATTAAAGACTGGTAACTTCTGAATAAGTTGTGTGTATGTTCTTCTCTTAAGGCTTGATACATTTAAAACCTAGAAATAGACGGGGTCTAGAAAAAGCTACTAAGCTTGTGTTTCTCTTCAAGGCAATTAATCAGCAGAAAACTATTCCATTTGATGTTGATGATTAATTTAAAGCTGCATACAGGGAAAATTTTCTTGGCTTTAACTGATGATTATGTTGATTGATTTGTTTTGTGCTCTATACTATTTTATTCTATGGGATACTTTGAGTCATTACTTCTATAAATACATAATTCTGCTATATTTATTTTATTTTGTTTTAAAATATGACAAAAAAATGTTTTTAAATAATTTTTTATTATCAAAATCAAACATAAAAGAAAAATTTGATTTAAATCATTAGTCATCAAAAATTATTTGATTTAAATCTTAATTTAAACCAATGTGATTTAAGTTCGATCAGATATTGATGTAGTTACATATGATAAAGTAAACTTTATGCAACAAAATCAAGTAAACTTTATGTAAAAACTATTAAATTTAATTAAGGAAACTAATTAAATTTTATAGATTTTTATAAATCCACAAAAATCCAACTTAAAGGGATCCCAAACCTCCAAGACATGTTTTGTTCATATTAAAGAGAATGATTAAAAAAATGTTTGGGCTAAATTTTTTTGATTAAAACAAAAGAATAAATATATATCAAGAAAAACTAACTTTTTTATCTTAATCAAAGTTTGCCTCCTCTATTTTGTTGTAGGCCAAAAAGTCAGCATAACATAAGCCACAATCTACAGACTTGGTAACTTATTCATGTGCGTTTTATTTCTAAGAGTTTCAGTACATGACGTCATTGATTTTTATTTTTTGTGTAAAAGATCAATTATGTAAACGAACAAACAAATCAATGATGCCATTTCTTAATAATTGTGCTAATTAATTTTGCCTAAATATATCAATATTTACATTCAAATTACACAATTTCAAATTAGGCAAACTAAAGTGTAAACTTGATGTCCATAAATATTCTTTCTCCCTCAGGGTTGGTAATATGAGACATGATATGTCTCATATTACCAACCCTGAGGGGTTGGTAATATGAGACATATCATGTCTTTAATATGAGACATATCAAGAGCTTTAAATTTAAATATTTAATATTAAATTTAAATATTTAAATTTAAAGCTCTTGATGTATTTATCATTATCTCTAACATAAAACATAGAAATAAGGTTGGCAATTTTTTGCCAACCTCTAACACTTTTAGTTCGGCAGTTAGGTTGGCATTGCCAGCGCCAATCCTAAATTCGAGGGCTGCATATATATTTTTAAACTTATTAAATTTTTTTTATGAATATTAACTATGAATGCGTGTTTAGATAACATCTCTGGCATCACACTGAAATAGCCTGCTGCTGGGGGCTACAGTACATACATCATCTATCTTACAGCCTGCTACAAAAGAGTACTGCTACATCGACTGAGGGTTTGGCATGAGGCAGCAATCTTTTCTTTCATTCTTTTTTTTAATACTGTATGCTAAAAGTTAGGAGAAAAAAAGGCCTTGTCAAGAAGCATTACACTATTTGAATTTTGCATACAAAATGGTAATTTCACCTACACATTAAGCTATTTACGTTATCCCAAAACTTTTTACAATTAGATTATTATTTGTTTTTTATTAGATAAAAAAAAACAGATAGTTAAATAAATTTTTTTCTATTTTCAATTTTTTTTTTTTTTAAATTTATTTTTAACTTTTTTTAATTTTATTATTAAATGTTAATAAATATAAATTTATTTTATTAAATTTAATTCAAATTCTATTTAAAATTTTAAAACGCTTCGTTTTGCAATTTTTTTTTACTGCTATTTGCCAAACTGTTAAAGAAAAAAAAAAGTTGCTTTAAAATGTTTGTATTACATTCAACTATTTTGTTTATATATTTATAGTTTCATATCAATATATTTTTTTTTTTTACAAAAGTGCTAATATATACCAAAGTGCCTATGCACTTATAACTGGATATGCATTGTGCTTATACCAAGTGCTTATGCAATTATAACTGGGTATACATTGTGCTAATATTCCAAGTGCTTTATGCACTTATAATTGGGTAATGCACTTATGATGGGTATATGCATGGTCAGAAAAACCATAATCAAGCCTGTAGGCAAAATTATTAGATTCATCAAAAATATTTCAGATATTTTTTTAGTAAATTTTATATAACAAATTTATGAAAAAATGATTTTTTCAATTTTGAAATTGCTTATTAACAAAAGTTTTTCCTTTATAGTTAATTTTTTGAATTGATCATAGAATGAATATCAATTGAATGAATGAATATAAATTAGGAATGATTAAATAGTTAATGAGTAGTATGTAAAGATTTTGTTAAAGCCAAAATGTTAAAAAAAAAAATGTTATTAATGATAATCTTTTTTTTTTGACTGTTAAAGTGATCCCTAAGTGCCAAGACAAAATGTGTTCATATCATAAAAATTCCTTGAGAAATAAGTTTCATATTAATTAAACTTCTCAGAACAAATTATTTATTGAGATATTAGCAAAAAACTTTATAATTTTTAACACTATTTTTTTTTTCTCCAAGGTAAGTTCCAGATTTTGCTCATCTGATCAATGTGCATTTGTAGTTAATAAATGACATCAAAACAAAAAAATTCCTTCAAATAACTTAAACTCAAGATATAAATGTTATGGTTGGGTTTTCCCTTAGCAGTTAATTTTTATGTAGAAGAATGTCTTTATATATTTGATAAAACAAATCAAATTTTTATAAACGAATAAAAATAACACAATCAATAAGTAAACGCTTTAAAAGCCGAAGTTATATTTATTTTATTTTTCTTTTAAAAACTATTATTAGTGCTCAAAGTATAAGATTTCAAAATTATAGTGATATTTTTTAAAAACTTTTTTTTATAAAAATCTAATTGTTGATTATGTAAAAAAACTATGTGGTAGGTACATTTATTAGTCAAACCAGATATGTTTACAAGGAAAAAAACCATCCAGATTCATATTAACTTCTCAACTAGAAGTATAATGGCAAAAAATAAATGTTTTTGTTAATATCTTAATAATTTGTTTTGGTAATTTCCATATACTTAAAACTTATTTTATCATGTTTATTTATAATCACATTAAAACTTATTTTCTCATGTTTATTTACAATTACATTAATACTTATTTTCTCATGTTTATTTACAATTACATTAAAACTTATTTTCTCATGTTTATTTACAAAATAAATAAAACTTGTCTAGGCACTTGGAAATCCCTTTAAGAAATTTAACCATAAACAATTGCCCTCTCATTTACAAAAGTAAACATAAGACGAATGTTTTAACAAAACAAAACAAAAAAAAAGTTTTAAAAAGTATAAGATTTTTAAAATAAGGAATTTTTTTTTATTTAAACGACATATTTAAATTTTATTAAAATTTTTTTTTTAAACTATAGCGTTTAATTTAAAGATATTTTTTAAAATCCGCAACTGATGTAATTCAACTTTTAATAAATGTAAAATATCTTTATTAAGTAAAGTCACATTTATTTGTATTACACTTTTCTGCTATGCATCAAAACCTCATACCAAGGCCTGAGTAAAAACTTGTTTCCTATATACGCTATAATAAATATATATATACTCTATATATAATAGATATATAATAGATATATAATAGATATATAATAGATATATAATAGATATATAATAAATATATAATAGATACATAATAGATATAAAATAGATATATAATAGATATACATTATTGAAATTAATGTTAAACTTTATATTATAATAATATTTTACCAACCATAACAAGTTAGACGAATAACTTCTCCTTGTTTAACTGATTCAAGACACAGAGAACAAGTCTCGCTGTAATCACTGTCTTGCAACCAGTTGACGTAAGATTTAATGATGCACTAATAAATAATATTTTTACTTTATTTATAACTTTTGTTAAATATTCAAAAATTAAGTGATCGCAAATCCTGATATCTGGAAATCCTTCTGGTTCTTAATTTTTAGTTTTTCAATAAAAAAAAACTCAATAGTTGTTATTCAATAAAAATATTTGTGCATTGATCTTAAATTATGATATAAAATCTCTTAATAAAACTTTATTACTACTATTATCATTAACATTATGATTAAAAACTATAATTTAAACTTTATTCTTATAATTAATTTGATAAACCATCAGATTAAAGTAGAGAAATAAAGCATAATATTAAAAATAAAACAACCGCAAATCACAACAGTTTAAAGGAAATTTGTGGTGATTCAATATTTGAATTGAAAAAAATCGTGACTACCTTTATACCTTATTTAAATATTATTTAATATTTTCTCATAAATCAAATATAACTGTTATTTAATTGCTTCCAACTCTCTAAGACAGAAACAAAATAATAAATTTTTTTGTTATATTAGTATAAGTATTAATATATATATATATATATATATATACATATATATATATATATATATATATATATATATATATATATATATATATAATATATATATATATATATATATATATATATATATATATATATTTACTACCCTTTTGTTAAAGAAGTGTTACAGCTTTTAATAAACTAAGAATTTGAAAACCAGAAATATTTCTAGATTTGCAAACACTTAATTCGCACCTATATAACTATATTAAAACAATACTATTGTAATATATAACAATCATTGGATATATACTACTGTGTTAAATATACATATATATATATATATATATACATATATATATATATATATATATATATATATATATATATATATATATATATATATATATATATATATATATATATAAAATAAAGATTGATTTTACACTAAATAATATTACTTTATGTTTTAAAGATATAGAAAGAAACCAGCTAAAACATTTAGTTAGCATATTACGCAAATACGCATAACTACTTTTCTTTTGATTAAAAATTTATCACTTGATTTAGATGCAGTCTTCTCCATTTTAACCAGAATATTTATCTTATTTAAGTGCTTGCAGTAAAAGTATTAAAATCATGCACACCAGCTTAAAAATTCTTGCTGTAATGTATAGACTAGGGTTTCCCAAAAAAAAAACATTTTTGAAAATAATCAGCTCTCACCCCCTAAATGTGTTCTATCTAATACAAAAACACAAGGTTTAAATTTTTTTTGAATAAAAAATATTTTAAGGGGTCCCTCAAGACCCTCAAATATTTATTAGGTCCCTAATATTTTCGAAAAAAAAGTTTTTCAAAAATATGTCAACCTGGTACTCAAATGAAGCGAAATTATATAAATATTTCAAAAATAGTATTCATTTCGAAATATTTTTAACTAATTTATCAAAATTATCATAAAAAAATGCATTTTTTTCTCAAAAAAACGCAATTTTTTTATGTAATAAAACCAAAAATAACAAATTTGTTCCGAAATGAATACTATTTTTAAATTTTTATATAATTTCGCTTCATTTGAGTTCCAGGTTGACATATTTTTGAAAAACTTTTTTTTCGAAAATATTAGGGATCCATTAAATATTCGAGGGTCTTGAGGGACCCCTTAAAATACTTTTTATTCAAAAAAAATTTAAACCTAGTGTTTTTGCATTAGATAGAACACATTTAGGGGGTGAGAGCAGATTATTTTCAAAAATGTTGTTTTTTGGGACACCCTGGCATAGATGGAGAAGAATGTAGACGCTTGCCAATAAGTATTTAGAAGAAGGTTAATCCTTGTCAATGAAGAAAAATTTGTTATATATATATATGTATATATATATATATGTATATATATATGTATATATGTATATATATATATATATATGTATATATATATATATGTATATATATATATATGTATGTATGTATGTATATATATATATATATATATATATATATATATATATATATATATATATATATATTTATATATATATATATATATATATATATATATATATATATATATATATATATATATATATATATATATATATATATATATATATATATATATATATATATATATATATATATATATATATACATACAGGGTGTAAACTAGCTCGGTGGGGTCCCGTCAAACGCGGTATTTCCAAACGCTCATAAAAGTAAAATTCCTAATTTAAAGTTGAAAAAGTCCCGTTTTCCAAGTATAGTTCGCCTATTTAAAGTTAAATAATAATTCTAAAAATTATTGAAAATTAATTATTATTAAAAACTAATAGAAAAATTGCATAAAAAATTTTCATTTAATTATTGTGTAAAACTTGAAATAAAATCACTGTGGTATAACTACGCGATTGCATTACTGCAAAATGGTCTCTTGGAAAAAACTACTTGAGAATAACGATTTTAGGGATTTTCTCGGCAACTTATTTTTAAAGTTCATTTCTCAAAATTTGCAAATAGTTCTTCGCAATGCGTTCCAACAACAGCAAATATTATATAAAAAAAGTTAGCAAGAAATTGAGTACAATCTAAAATAATAACAAATTTGTTTGGTTTAACACGCACAAATACTATTTCTTTGAAAATTTCACTTTTTTAGCTGAAAAGTCAATTGCCTAACTGGAAAAATAATCATTATTGTCTTACTGCAAACTCTACTTCAAGTAGTACATGTGCTTACTCAACAAAAATATAGAGTAGCCGCCTACATCAGATTAAAAGATTTAAAGCGTAAATTAAATACGTTTAATAACAAGAATGTTTTTTTTATTACAACAAACTGGTACTAAAAATTTTAAAAACAAGAAAACTAGATTCACAGCTTGCTTGAATTTAAAATGTAAAAACAATTTTAAATATATGAATAAAAATAACATTTTATGACTATGAATGAAAAAATAATTATTGGTATTCTTTGTTGCCACAATAACATGCAATCGCTTGCGAATAATATTCTTTTGTAATTAAACAACATTTGTTGTTGTTTTTTTTCAGACTTTGTATTTGTAACTTTATTTCTCTATGTGATTTATTTATATATAAAATTATTATTAATTATAAAATTGAACTCACAATAAATGTGAAATAAAATTTACGAGCTCGTGTTAACTATTTTCAAAACTTTTATTTTTCTATTTTTGAAACATTTCTTTTAATGACGCAATTTATTACAAGATGGTGTAAGGGTTCGTCCATAAAGGACATCAAGCAGAATTTAAATAATTAGAAGTAGAAGATCATTGGCTCTTTTCCGCTGACATTTTCATTGAACATAAAATGCTATATTACTCGCCCTTTAATGCCCACCAGTAAAAAAGAAATATATATTCAAAAGAATACTCTTAAAATGAAAGCTGCAATGGTATATTAAAATGACAAATAAATCAAATATATTATTTCTAACAATAATTCATTATAATTAATTATTGTTAGGAATAATTTATTTGATTTAATTGTAATCTTATTGCTGTATACATTGACATATACAATCCTTGTATAAATTGACTGGACACCAAAAATCAAACAAAATAATTAGTGTTTATTGATTATTAATAATGATTATTAAACACTGATTATTTTATATTATAAAAATATATAATTCTTAATATATCTTTGGAAATCAGAGCTTAATTTGCTGTGTCGTTGCGAACCCACTTATAATTTTGCGTTGATTTCATATTCATCTTCAATAAATGTGACAGACAGTAGTTTGTTTGATTTTTGGTGTCCAGTCAATGTGTGCGGCGCTGAAGTTGTGTAGAAGTAAAAAGAATATAAGAAATGGACCCATGCATTCCCAGAACACACTCTAATCTCAGGGGGACAAGAGGGGCAGATGGCTGGAAAATATTTTGAAAAATTACCAAATACTGTCAAAACGCTGTATCAAAATTATTCCTGGTTAACACCCTGATATATATATGTATGTATGTATGTATATATATATATATATATATATATATATATATATATATATATATATATATATATATATATATATATATATATATATATATATATATATATATATATATATATATATATATATATATATGTATATATATAACAACCCTCGGAATTAGGAAAAATGAGGTCGGCAAAAACTACTTGATACAAAGGTCTAGCCATAAAACATAGAAACAAGGTCGGCAATTTTTTGCTGATCACAAACAATTTCAGGTCGGCAGTTAGGTCGACATTGCTGAATGCAGACCCTAATTTTGAGAGTTGATATAAATATATATATATATATATATATATATATATATATATATATATATATATATATATATATATATATATATATATATATATATATATATATATATATGTATATATATATATATATATATATATATATATAAATATATATATATAAATATATATATAAATATATATATATAAATATATATATATATATATATATAAATATATATATAAATATATATATATATATATAAATATATATATATAAATATAAATATATATATATATATATATATATATATATATATATATATATATATATATATATATATATATACCTCAAAATGAGGAAAATTGAGGTCGGCGGATATTAACGACCTCTTCGGATGTAAGAGGTCGTTATCAGATTGGTAAAAAAAATTGATACAAAGATTTTACCATAAAACAGAAACAAGATCAGAGATTTTTTGCTAATCTTAAACACTTCTAAGTCAGTAGTTAATCCAGCATTGCCAAATGCTGATCCTAATTCTGAGGGTTGTATATATTGTCATCTGTCAGGTAACACCTCCTATGTCTTAAATATACGGTTAATTTTTACAAAGTGCTTATACATGCACATCTTTTGGGTATATATCACATCAACCGAGACACTGTAACTATTGGTATTAGTGTATTTTAATTAAAAAATGGCAAAAACCCAGTAATATCTCTTACGTAGCTTCTATTATATATATATATATATATATATATATATATATATATATATATATATATATATATATATATATATATATATATATATATATATATATATATATATATATATATATATATATATATATATATATATATATATATATATATATATATATATATATATATATATATATATATATATATATATATATATATATATATATATAGCATGCCTTTGCTAACCTTTGGCCATGACCACAAAAATTGTAATGTTTTCAATTGAGTTTAAGACATTGAGTTTTTTATTCAATAAACATATCAATATCTCCACAAAAACTTTATTTTTTTATTGAAAAATTATATCTCCTCATAAACAACCCTCTTTTTTATTTTATTTTTATTTGACAAGGCTCGAATTAAGTGATCACGAATTGCAATATCTGGATATATTTCTGGTCATCAAATTCTCAATTTATTAGAAACTTTGAACACTGTTTTAATGAAATGGTCAGCTTATCATATTGCAAAAAACAAAACAATAACTTTACTACTGCAAAAAATAATAATAGCCAAAAGTTACATATTTTAAATTATTGTTTGTTTAAACACCAAATTCTTCATACTGTATGCTTTACTTTTCTAGTTTTGTCTGATGAACTAAAAATGATTAAAAATCTTAAAGTTTATATCATAATTTTAATAAAAACAAAATTAACAATAAGGTTTTATAATGAGATTTAATAATATCATAATTCAAGATCAATATTAATATTTTTTATTGAATAACAGCTATTGATTTTATGAACTATTGAGTGATAAAAACAGAGTTTACAGTTTTAAAAAGCTAAAAACAAAAGACAAGAAATATTTTCAAATATCGCAATTTACGATCACTCAATTCCCTGTTTGATATAGTTTAAGTTTATTTAGAAAACATCAAGTCGTAATTTATACTTTTGATTAAAAAAAAATAGATTGTTAGAAACTTGCTTCAATATATATATATATATATATATATATATATATATATATATATATATATATATATATATATATATATATATATATATATATATATATATATATATATATATATATATATATATATATATATATATATATATATATATATATATATATATATATATATATATATATATCAGGCCTTGTAATGATTAAAATGCATAACGCATTCATATTTTTAAGCTCATAAAATTCTTATTATTTGCTTTTTTACTGCAATTACCTAAATTACTGCAATACTAGTTTATTCAATAATCAACTCAAAACAATGAAAAAATGCTTTGGATAATACAGCGTATCTGACAAATATCTATATTATTACAAAGAACATAAATGAAATCCAAAAGAAACCCAAAATCTGTTAAAATAAAAAATATATAAAGTTTTAACATTTTCTATTTGTAGTGCAGATACACCCCCCCCCCCAGTTTTTTAAAATATGTTTATTATTTTTTTAACATTTGACAAAATCATGTTTTGTCAAATGTTAAACAAACTATAAAAAAATTAATAAAAAAGATTTTGTTTTATTTCTTGATTATATATTGAAAGTTTTGCAAATAACAATTATTTTTTATTTTTATTAAGTAAGCAAGTAATAAAGTAAAACCTTTAAATATTGTACAATTAACTAGTGTAACTTACAAAAAATAATATAAATATAAACATAGTCTAAATAAATATTAACATGCTTGCTATATTATTTTGCTTAGATTAATCTTTTTTTAATTTTTTTTTTTTTAGATTTCATTTATTTATGCTGTATAAAAACAACAGTTTTTCTTTTGTAGCAAAAATTTTTGATTATTTTAATATAAACCAGGGCTGGGGCCACAGTCATTTAATAGAAACACGGTAATCCATTTTAAAACATACAAATCACTCCTGCTTTTGTTGTTGAAATTTATTCTGTGACAACTAGGGGTTTTTGTTGTACAAATAAGTTTTCATTCTAATCATCTAGAAACCAAAAAAAATGAACTTAATTTAAATATAACTAATGATGAATTTTATAAAAATTTAATATTTTTTTATTCAATATAAAGCTTTGGAAGTTATTTTTGTCTAACTTAAACTCAACTTTCTACTTTACTGGTGTCGGAGCAAATGAAGAAGTAAAACACATTCATATCTGCTTTAACTATTATATGAAGATTCAAATATCATTAACTCTTTTTTTTTAAAAAAATTAATTATTGAAATAATAATTTTACGAGAATTGAACATAAAAATATCTGCAAAACTATAACCATTAAACATTATATATACACATATTATAATGTGTATAAATAATGTTCAAAAAAATTGATACGTAATACTTCCTTTAAACACAAATTACAGTTAACTACAGTTTTTGGATTTCTGTAAAAATTAAAATCTAAAATATATATTCAGAATTCCAAAATATCCAGAAAAAGATAATCCAAAACTCAGTCCTCTACTTCATGTTTTCATAGATTTTTAGATCACTGTTCCTTCAACTTTCACTTTCATGGAATCTTCTTTTATTGACATTTTTTGCTCTTGTTCAAAAGTTATTTTGAATAAGTCAGCAAATTGCTGGTTTCTTCTGGAAAAACTGTTTCAAAGGAACTTTATATAATTAAAAAAAAATAACATTAAGTGTTACTAATAACACAACCTAATTGCCCAATTGGTTCATCTACAAATCTTAGAAGTTTTGGTCTGAAGACTTACGGGCCAGAAATATGGATAAGATTCTAAACTTGTTTGATACTATTATGCCATAAATAAAACTATTCTATAAATGTTACCCATCCATTCGAAATTTGTTTGTGATTCAAAATCATTAAAGCTATAGGAAAAAAATATTTTTTAAACTTTGCATTCGACTGCTTTAATAAAAGAGAAAAGTTTCTTTAACAATAAAAATGTAATTTGTTTTATTCTTGAGTCAGAAAAATGTTAAAAAAAGAAAAGGAAACAAAAAAGTATTTAAACGAGAACTTGTATTTGAATGAAAATTTTCAAAAATTCTCATTCAAATCAAAAAGTCAAGCGTTTGAAAAACTACTTTTACTTAAAATTTAATACATTTTTTATTATCAAAAATAAAGATGAAAAGTATACAAATGAATGCATTAAATTTGGCATTTTTTGCCAAGTTACATCAAAATTTAATAACACAATAATAAAACAACAATGAAACAAACCCGTTGATGATCTTTAACAATGCATGATTCACAGACATTCATTCGGCAAACGTAACAGAACTGATTTGTGACATTTCTTTGCTTACATTTACAAACACCCATGATTAAATTTAATGTCGAGTTAAAATACAAACGAATAATAAGCCGCCATTATGAATTGTGTGTATATTTTGAACACGATATTTTTTCGGATTTAATGCAAAAATAACAAGAGACTATTTTAACTTCATTTGATTGATCTGTTTTGATTATTTTGAAGGGTTCGGAAAATTTGTATGCGCAGATATTCGCCGATAAATTGTGCGCATATATTTTCGCATACTTATGCGCATAACTTTTTTTCAATTTCATATCATTGAAAACCGTTAAATCGTTTTGACAAGGAAGACAGACAAAAAAACGAATTTTAATTCTAGTTTTCATGAAACTTTTAATTAATGTACTTTTGAAACAAAAAAAGCATCAGTTTTAATAGTGGAATTAAATGTTAACAACTTTTAATTCCACTATTAAATCAATATTAAAGAAATCGATATGAAATTAGCAAATTTTTTTTCCGAACTGAAATATAATCGCTCATCAGTGATGGTTGGTCGAATATTGGTGGCAATCATCTAGAAAATATTTGTATCAAGGTACTAAATACAAAACCGTATTTCTATATTTCAATCAACACATCGGGCATAATTCAAAACGCTGCAGCTGTTGCTGGTGCTATCATTGAAGTAATCGAGACTCTTGGCCCACACAAGTTCAGAAGCATAATCACCGACAACGCTCCAGTAATGAAGGCTGCTTGGAAATTAATTGAAGAAAAATTTCCACACATCTTGACGTATGGCTGTGCAGCACACGGTATGAATCTTCTCGTTAAAAACATTTGGAGTACTGCTGAAAGTTCAAAGACTATTAAAAAGCTGAAAAAATCATCAAGTTTGTGAAAAATCATCACATTGTTAAAGCAAAGTTTGACGAAAAAAGAAACGCAGCAAATATTTTTTTTATTTTTTATTACAAAGCAATAAATATTTACAAATTTTATAAATTTACATTATCTCTGTTGATTTTAAATATCTTTTTTTTTATTACAATATATAATCTTTACAGGTTTTTTTATAATATATAACTGGTTGTTTTTTTTTTTGTATATAATATACATTTTACAACTCGTTTTATATAGACATATGTTTACATTTTTTTTTATTACTTTTTGATTTTATATTTTTTTTTTTTTGTTTATTTGATTTAGAGCTTTTAAATAAAAAAGATTTTTATTAAAAAAAAAAAAAATTACAGGACGGTAACACTAAAATTACTATACGAACTCTATAGACAACACAAATATGTTAAAATAATATGGCATAAAATAAGGGCTGATAGTGATTTTTTAATCATATATAATAATAGAATTTGTAGTATAAAAGAAAAACATCGGCAGAGAGGAGGGAGTCTTTACTAAACATACAGATCTTGCTATGAACTAATGCTTTATTTTTAGCTCATATGTTTAGTTTCAGATTTCCATTTTCTACTGGCTAAAAATGTTCTTAATACAAAAATGTCGACAGAAAATGTCCGCAGTGTTTCTACGGACATGATAATTATATTTTAAAGTAATAATATTTCTGATATTCCTGATTATTACCCTGATCACTGCCATTGGGTCGATTTTTATGTTACTATACATGTGGTGACATCTACTGTTCCATATTGCACTCATTATGGTTTGAGTGAGTGTCAACAGCAGCTGCAAGGTAGGTTTTTTTTCCGATAAATTCGCTGCTTCAATCAAGAAAATCGAATTTATCGGAGAACAATTGTTTTGGGATGTGAAGGAGTTATATACATGTTTAAAATACTCCCATATTTCAACAGAAGGAGGACAGTAGGCAAAGATATGAATATTGTCCTCAATTTTACCACAAGTTTTGCATTTGTTATTTTTTACGATCTGTTGCCTTGTGCTTTTGGTTAGCAAGGCTGCAGAAGGTAGACTGTTGTGTAAAAATCGAAAGAGAATGTTTTGTGTAGGTCTGTATGCGTGGGAGGTGAAGTTTTTTTTCCAAATTTGGGTCCACAGCATTGTTGTTTTTGTTGAACCGTTCCAAAAAAAATCTGCTGGCACGACTGTCGTTGTTTTTTGCCACTTCTAAATAAATTTTTTTTGTTGATTTTAGGGGGATGTTAAAAAGAGACCCGTTTTTGTCTAATATTTCAATTGTTGTTTTATAGTAATGAGACATTTTTTTGTCCCAGTGTTTTGCAAAATTGTACTGTTTTAAAAAATTCCAGCTTTGGTTTTGGTTTGTAAACTTTATAAGTGAACTTGCTAACCAGTACTTTGAAAAGTAATCGTGAGTATTATCCTCTTCGCATTCTTTCAGCTGAAAGAGTGTTTTGAGGCAAAGGGCAAGGTTTTGCTCCGTCCGAGACCCCCGTTTTTGACGGGTAAGAAAAGTCTCTCTTTTGACCAGATTGAAATTGGTCTTTTGCCACAGATTTTCGAAAATGGCACTGTGTAAACGTTCTATTCCCCATTCGGGAACGGACAGAACGTTTGCCAGAAACCACACTTTAGACATTTCTAGCGTATTTATCATCCCCCAAGTGACAAAGTACGTAGTCCCAGAAACTTGATTTTTTTGTCTATTTTGTTTAGAGTTACTAGCCAGTTGAAATTGGTAGTATTACTCAGTCTGGTGTAAAAAGTAACAACCAATATTTTGAAACCGGTATTATTGTTCCACTCTATGTTGTCCAATTCTGGGTACATTTTGGGATCAAAACCCCTAATAGCAAGACCCTTGGTTTTTGAGGCATTGATCACTGAACCACTTGCTTTTTCAAAAAATTTTACTTTTTCAAAGAAAAAAGCGGACAGATTTTACGTCCCTGGCAAAAAAGTTCGAATTGTCTGCGTATTGCTGTAATTTAAGGGGTTTCGATGTTCCTGGGAGTGCAAAACCCTCTATTCTACTATTCGCTCTGACCCCCAAAGCGAGAACTTTGGCAACAAAGATGTACAGCAGAAGAGAAAGTGGGTTGCCTTGTCTGACTCCTCTTTCCGTAAGAAAGAAGACCGACAAAAAACCGCAATTCAGAACAGATGCCGAAACTTCTAAATATAGGGCGTTAACAAAAGATACAAAATTTTCTCCGAGATTGAATTTTTGGAGAATTTACAGCAAAAACGGCTTGTCAAAAGCCTTTTCTTGGTCTATAGATATAATCAAACTAGGTAGATTTTTAAATTCTTCGTAACCTATAAGATCGCGGACTAAATGCAAATTTGAAAAATTGTTCTACCAGGAATTCCGCAAGTTTGATTTGGTTCTATAATTTTGCCCATTACTTTTTCAAGTCTTAGGGCCTGCGCTTTTGCGATTATTTTGTAATCAGCGCCGATTAAGGATATGGGCCTCCAATTTTTGCATTCAGTTAGATCTCCTTGTTTGGGATTCAGTGAAATTATTGATTTTTTCATAGAGTGGCTGGTGTTTTTTTTCTACAAAAAGTATTTCGTAGGCAAGTTCTTCAAAATCTTTTTCTAAAATGTGCCAAAAAGTTTTGTAAAATTCAGCTGGAAGTCCGTCTAGCCCGGAGATTTTCCGTTTTCAAATTTAAAAAGGGCTTCTTTAAGTTCCTCACCGGTTAGGCGGGTGTTTAAAATTTGATTTTCATCATCACTTAAAAGTTTGGTGATGTGTGATAAGACATAGATTTGGCTGTCTTTGCATAAATTTGTTTTGGTGTATATGTTTTTATAATATGAAACGAGGGAGTTAAGTATTTCACCAGGTTCACTTGTCAATGTGCCGTCATTCTTGCGAATTTCGGTAATTGATTTGTTCCGCTGTTGAACTTTTTCCAAATTATACAAAAATTTTGAAGGTTTTTCTATTTCATCGATTAGTATTTGTTTCGTGCGAATAAACGCTCCTCGGAACTGGAGCAAGAGAAGAGCATCGCGTTTTTCTTTGATGCTATCTAAATTCGGGTTAGCGTTTTGTCGTTCCCGTTGGATTTCATTTTCAATCCTTTTGATAAATTTTTTTTTTTTACACTTTCTTGTATCGAAATATGTTGTAATTCAGCCCTAACAAAAAGTTTACAGTCGTCCCACCATTTTAAAATTAAGTTGTAGGACCGTTTTTTTGTTTGCCAATCTTGAATTGAGAGTTCAATTTTTTGCCTATAGCAGCAAATATTCCTCGCTCACTTTTAATGTCTATTTTGACTTGATGGCTTAGTCTATTTGTTTAATGAACGACCTTTATATGGCAAAGTATGTTTTGATTCAACTTGCGGGTGAAGAAAATGCATCTTTGAAAAAAATAGTTCCAAAAAAAAATCGGCCGCTGTTTTGACGCTAATTAAATCAAATGCTTTATGGGATAGTTTTGCAAAACTCATGCAAGATATCGAATATCCTTCCGACATCATGAGAAGACTTGAAAATTATGATGTTCCATTATCTTTGGTGTAATATCATTTTGGTGAAATGTACAAGAAATTCGCAAATGAAGAAATTATTCAGGAAATGGTTATGAAGCGCTTTAAATTCCTAATCAGAAAAAAGAATATTTTTAAATAAGCGCAAAGGATTATTGGAACATTGTTGGTCGTGAGAAATATCCATTAGTCTTTAAAGCTTTAAAATCTATTGTTGCATTGATTTGTTGGTCAGCAACAGCAGAAAAAACTTGTCGATTATCTTATTTATTCATTCACTATTGAGAGATGGCTTGACAAACGAACGCGTAAAAAATTAGTTTTCATATATACCAATAGTGTTTTGTTGGGTACAAACGACAAAAGTACAGCACAAAATAGAAAATCAAATAAAAGATTACTTTTTTAATTTAAAGTTGCCTGCGTTTGATTTAAAAAATATTTTCTTCTTAATTGACAATATTTATCTAATTTCACATACCATTCATCTGTCAAGTTTTTAGGCGCATAACTTTTGAATGGTATCCGCATATATTCGCGGATATGTGTATGAATTCCGAACCTTAAAAAAAAGCTTATCGTACCAAGAGTCAATAATTTTTAAACATTTTTAAATGATGGACTTTTATGATTTAACTTTTCCTACCTGACCAATCAAAATAATTTGATTAGGAGAAGTTGGCTTAAGTTTTTTTTTAAGGGTTCGGAATTTATGAGTTTATTTATAAATATGAAAAGAATTTTGCCAAAGCGTCAACGAACGGTTTAAAGAA